TGTAGACTAATAGCAATACTGTGCAAACAACTGATTTTATTTTGTGGGCTTTAAGAAGTACTAGTCTTCGAAGTCTTTTGTTTATCATATTATATATACATATATAAATTTATTTTGATTTGTCTCATGGTTTTTCTTTTTCACTGACATTTCTTCTTTTATTAAGCAAGGTGTCAGCTTCTAAACACTAGGACACATATTTGTAACTGAGCTTTGGACTGTGTGTCCTGGCATATTGTCACATGTCTGTTGATAAATATTTAGTTCTATGGGAAGCATTGGTTCAACTCTGCACCTTTAATTAGGGCAATTAGCCTCTTTCTCTTCCAGGGTAGTGTGTTTCATAAGACACCCACATCATCATCATCCGTCAGCTTGATAAAGCCATCAGCAACTTCACTAACGAAGATACACTTTCACATTTCAACCACTTGAAACCAAACCGTCAAACCAAGCTGTCAGCCAGTTATTTTATCTATTACGGCAAAATTGCCTGATGGCCAATTAGTCATGCAGCGAAAACGTCTGAGGTTGAAAATGCTTGTGGCAAAGGTATCTCACGGCAAAGATGCCAGGCACAAATAAGTTTGTGTTATATTAAGGCGCCAAGTTGGTGGTCACTTGTTACATCAACAACAGGAAACTAACACAGTCCAGGGAGGGGACACCAGGCTTCAGTGGCACCCCAGCTCCTACAAGACAGAGTGCACAGTCCTAAGGAGGGCGTACAAAGCCCCACTCTGCCTCCTCCTCCATGGTCTCTGGGGCAATGGTTCACTAGCTGTTAATGGTAAGAAGAGAGGACCTGGGGAGATTCCAAATGTGTCTTCTGGACAATTACTGTAAAATCACACCTCCTCTTCCACCTTCCTGCCCCAGCTGGCTACCTCCGATCCACCCTGGATCCAGGTGTTTGAGATTTTATACATTTTTAAGAACAGGCTCTCCTGAGTCTTGATAGCATAGTTTGATTAACACATATCACACACAGATAATAAAGTACTACTAATATCAGAATTAATCATTTAATCCTGACAATCGAAGACCCCTTCCCTCCTGAAACCCCCTCCCCCAGAAGGGTGACTGACTCGTGCTGCTGTTGTATGGTAGAAGCCAACACAACATTGTGAAGCAATTCCCCTCCAATAAAAACATGCAAAACAAAAAAAAGACCCTTCCGGATCCTTCCATGGATGGGTCATCATGATGAACATCAGTGATCCCATCTTCAATTAGTACCTTGCAGGTGAGGAGAAGTAAAAAACAAAACCAAAAAACTCCCTGAATTCTCACCCATAACCTGGAAGTTGGTCTTGTCTGTAAATACTGGATATCAGCTTATCTACCTAGACCATTTGTCTCTTCCTAAAAAGAATGGTTTTGTTTCCTAGGGAGCAAAATGGGACTATTATTTACTTCAAAAGAATGGCTGAGAAAATGTATATGAAACACTTAACAGCTTGTTTGAGTTAAAAGAGCAGCCCAATAAATGGTGGCCACTATGCTCATTTATAGAGTTTGCCCCCAAACATTTCTGTTACGTATTACTTTCCGTTGTTGAGGTTATGGACAAACAGGAGTTATTTAATATACATTAATTTGCAATGGTTTTTTTCTGTGGTTGGGGATTTACTGTCTTTCTCAGTGGTCTCTAAGTTCTGAGAAGCTTTGGATATTCAAGTCAGCAAGTCACGGTAAGAGAATTTTGTGGCCTAAGTACATTCAGATCCACTAGAAAATAAGCAGCAACTAAAACAATTACAAACAGAAGCCTTCATTCTTCAACACTTTGGTAATTAAATTGTTAAAGAGTGTGTTGACTTACTGTACTTTAAATGCTATCTAAAGCAAATTACTATCTAAAGTAAATGACCGTTTACTACAAATTGGGTCAGGTCTGACATTTTGCATATGTCATCCTTATAACAACTCTTACTGTTGTTGTTCAGTGGCTAAGTTGTGTCTGATTCTTTGTGAACCCATGGACTGCAGCATGCGAGGCTTCCCTGTCCGTGGAATTCTCCAGACAAGAATATGCTAGTAGGTAGCTAGTCTCTTCTCCAGAGGATCTTCCCGACCCGGGAGATCAAACCCAGGTCTCCCACACTGCAGGCAGATTCTTTACAGTCTGAGCACCAAGGAGCCCATAACAGCTCTAAGGGGTAGATAGTGCAAGTTTCCTTAAAAAATTTTTCTTTCCAATACTTGTATTTTTCTCCCCTCTGACAATAAATGCGATTACATGCCTACTGAAGGACACAGGATTAAGTTATGGAAAGGTCTGGAAGTTTTTCTGCTTAACTATCCTTTTACTGTATAGTCACTGTTAATATTTTCACTTTGTGTTTGGGCTAACAAAGAGTTCCTCTTAAAAATATCCCAGTTAGTTTTTAACTGTTTATTATGCAAAATTTCAAATAGTCACAAAAAACAGATTAGTATAGCATGGTGGTGCTTTGCAAAAAGATGAAGGACTAGCTTATTTCCAGTGCATCACACACACCCAAACTTTCACAGAATACAGTAAAAGATAATCACTAGCAAGATGGACCTGGGATTTCCCTGGTGGTCCAGTGGCTAAGACTCTGGGCTCCCAGTGCAGGGGACCTGGGTTTAACCCCTGGTCAGAGAACTGGATCTCACATGTTGCAGTTAAGAGTGTACATGCTGCAACTAAGATCCAGTGCAGCCAAACAAATATTAAAAAGAAAGAAAGATGGACCTGTCTGTGGGTGTTGTGGCAATATTAAATTACAAACTTTCTAAATACTTCTATCAACGTCTGGACCACAGCAGACAAATCACAAACAATTCACAGACTAGTCAGGAGGAGCACAGTATAGAGGTCCACCTTGGGCAATTCCCAACGCCCGAACCTCATCTGAGGGCTCCCCTGGGCTTGCTCTTTGCCTTCTCATCTGAGCAGTGAAGGAGCTGCCTGCAGCCCAGGAGCCACGAGACCTGGGCTCAGTCCCTGGGTCAGGAAGGTCCTCTGGAGGAGAGGATGGCTACCCACTCCAGTGTTCCGGCCTGGAGGGTTCCATGGACAGAGGAGCCTGGCCAGCTACAGTCCATGGGGTCGCAAAGGGTCAGACACGACTGAGTGACTAAACACAAATCTCATTTGAAGGAAGCCTAGGGAAGGAGCAAATGTAGGTGGTTCAAGACTCGAAGCTTAAGGAGCAGGGTAAAGATACAAACCCATCTGCCCAGCTCCCAGGAGGAAAGAGCCATTTAACTAGGAGCACACAAGGGGACGACAGAGGATGAGATGGCCGGATGGCATCACCGACTCAATGGACGTGAGTCTGAGTCAACTCTGGGAGTTGGTGATGGACAGGGAGGCCTGGCGTGCTGCAGTCCATGGGGTTGCAGAGTCGGACACGACGGAGCGACTGCACTGAACTGATCACACTCTTAGTGCTCCCACAATGACTTAGCAGTAAAGAACCTGCCTGCAACGCAGGAGACACTACAGTCCAAAGGGTCGAAAAGAGTCGGACATCAGGGAGCACGCGAGTACACAGACACACACACACACACACACTCTCTCTCTCTCTCACAAACACACACACTCACACATACACACATACTCTTCCTTATGCAATGCTTCCCTTATCCAGGATCTGTGGAGTTTAGGGGCTTTGCAATGGATGCTGATAAAAAGAAACAAACCCAAACAACACCTTGACAATCAAAGCTGGAGGAAACTTCTAAATTCTTGAGACTTTTAAAGTGTTACCCAAACTATGATATTAGTCACTCCATGGGAGAGAAGCCAGCAAATCACAAACTCATAGACGTGCACACAGAGAATGTCCTCACACAACCACCTCTGTCGTTTCTCTCTGTCTCTCTCTCTGTCTGTCTCTCTTTGTCTCTCTGTCTCTGTCTCTCTCTGTCTCTCTCTCTGTCTCTGTCTCTCTCTCTCTGTCTCTCTCTGTCTCTGTCTCTCTGTCTCTGTCTCTCTGTCTCTCTGTCTCTGTCTCTCTCTCTGTCTCTGACTCTGTCTCTGTCTCTCTCTCTCTGTCTCTGACTCTGTCTCTGTCTCTCTCTCTCTCTGCCTCTGTCTCTGTCTCTCTCTCTCTCTCGGTAGTTTGTCCCTGGCTCATAGTTATGGTCACTTAGCGTCAGAGGTAAGCAGGAGGCTGAGCTTAGGTAAGGGGCTGTCCAGATGGGAACAGAGCTAGATCCCCAGCTGATCCCCTGCCCACCGCAAGGCAACATTTCTGAGTTCTGCGCCGCCGCCCCACTCCCCCCCACCTCCGCCTGCCAGTCCATCCGATCCCGGGGGAATGACCACCTGGACTTCACACCCGCTAATCAGATGCATCCGGCCCCAGTTAAGACTGAGGTACAGTCACCATCCCCAGGACAGAGGTCCCTGCCGGTGGCCGGCCTTCCTGGCACGGAGCTGCGAGGAAAGCAGGCCCGCCCGGGACCTGGTTCTGGCTGCGCCCCCCCCAGGGAGGACAGGCCAGGCAGCGCTACATTCAGGCGGTCGGGAAGAGGAATCTGTGGCCGGCGGAAGCGGCCTCTTCTCGAGCCCAGAATCCGGTTTTTCCTCTGCTCATTTGGAGACATTCGGAGTCAAGTTGCGCTAGCTTTGGGGCCGGCGGCGCGCGGATGGGAGGGAAGCAGCTACACAGTGTCCAGACTCGTGCAGGGCAGCGCGGCCTGGGCCCCGCGGGTCCTCCCGCCGCTCCAGCTCGCCGCCCGAGACTGCCTGGAATTCCCCCCCGCGACCATCCTACACCCGCTTCGCGCTCCCACGCCCCGAGGGCTCCGCGCGGAGCCCACCCGATCGGAGCGGCCGTGAAGCCCCTCCTCTGATCCTGCCTCCCCGCGGACCACACCCGATCGGGACACCCCTGTTTACCGACCCCCCCCCCAATGAATCGGGATTCCCGTGGGTTCCCAGCTACTGCGGGCTCCCCGCGGACTCCCACCCGCGAGATGCCGCCTCCGGCCGGCCTCGGGGGCTCTCCGACCCCGCTTACCTGCGGGCGGCGCCGCAGCGCCGAAGCCGCTGAGCAGCACGAGCAGCGGCGGCAGCAGTGGCGGCGGCGACCGCCGCATGGCCCAGAGCTCCCGGCGCCCCAGGCTCCGCGGCGCTGGGGGCGCAGCCCGGCCCCGGCGCGGGGTTGCCGAGCCGCTCACGTCGCCGCCTTGGCGGCCATGGCGACCGCAGGGCACGCACGGGGCCCGCCTCTTCCCGAGCGGCGCGGGCGGCGGCGGCGGCGGCGGCAGAGCGTCCCGGGGCGGAGGAGCGCCCCGCGCGGCCGCCGCGCCCAGGCCCGGCCCCTCCCGGCGCGCGCCCCGCCCCTGCACCCCGCCCGCCGCCGGGACTTTCCTGGCGCCCCCTACCCGTGCCGGCGCTCTCGGGAACCGCTGCCCCGGGGGTCTCCCGGCCTCTCGCGGCCAGAGCGCCCCGCGCGGATTCGCGCGAGCCGGGGTCTCCCCGAGGGGCCGGCGTCACCCAGCGAGCGCAGAGACGGCTGGCCCCGACCTTAGCTCAGAGGAGCCGGGGGGAGACGGAACCCCGCCAGCCGCCGCTTTCTGGGCTGGGGCCGAGGGGCTGCGACTTGCGATCCTTCGGGAAAGACCCCTGGGCACCCAGAGCCCCGGGTGGGCCTCGCGCGGAGCCTTCGACCCTCACCCCACCCCCATCTTCGTCCACTGCTTCCCGATTTCCTGGGATTGCACAATTCCAGCGTTCCTCCTTTAGGCTGAAGCTTTTGCTTGCTTATCAGACTTTTGAGTACACATTTAGCTTTTAACCCATTTTTGACAGTAGAGTGTAAGGATGTAGGTTTGGAAAGAGCCTTGGAAAGAGGGATTGAAGGAGAGGAGCTTCGGGCGACCTGGGCGCCCGGCACGGCCGAGGCCGAGGGACACGCCCCACATTTCATAACGGTCTGTGGCTTTGGCCCGGGGGCAGGCCGTGAAGAAGCCTCTGAGGCAGGAGCCGGGAGTGCGGGCTGTGAGTCTGAGTTGGCTCTTACCCGTTGGATGCCAGCAAGGGTTTGAGTCCATTCTGTTCTCTCAAGAGGAGCCCTAAACCAAGTTCAGCAGGAAAGGAAGGAGGCATACAGGGGGAGGCTGGGGTCGGGGGCAGATGGGGGCGGGCGGGACAAGGAGAGGGATCACGAGTCCCCTCGGATCGTGCTGGACATCCTGCTGCGTGGCTTGGCAGCGCACTGTTCGGTAACGTCAAGCTTTGCTTTTCGACGCAAAACGGAGAACTCTTAAAATTGGCCACTCTTGTAAACAGAGGTGCTGAGATATCCAGCAGTGTTTGAATGATGCTTAAAGTGAGTTTTTCCAAGACAAAGACATGGTTTAAATGTTAAGTGAAAACAGCAGAATCCTTGCAAAAATGACGCGTTGAGAATGGCTGGGGCAAATAATACGCCAAAACACTGGCTGAAATAGGGTGTGGGATTATGGAATGATAAGAGGGTTTCTTTACTTTCTTCTTCTTTTTTTTTTTTAGGCTTTTTTCTTTTTCCCCTAATGGACATATTTTTTTTTTTTTTATAATCAGGAAAGAAAAATCAAGTTACAGAAAAGGACACATGTGTTTGTGTCTTAGCCCAGGCTGGTGGTCTTCCTTGATGTGGAATGCCCAGGGGCAGCAATAATGAAGCCTGTGGTCTTTGAGGGTTCGTGGAAACCCCCTGACAATCTCCTTCCAGAGCTTTTCTCTGCTAAAATGTAGAGGGTTTATGTTTTCCTTACAGTTCCTGGCAAAGAACTAAAAGGATCCCTACCCAATTTGCTGCTTGGGTGGACATTCTGCATGACACCCCAGGTATCCCCAAAGCAAGTAACTGCCCCCCCACCCCCAACTTTAAGGCAGCTCTCCAAAGATAGTTTCCCTCAGTGGTTGGCATTTCTGTTTCCTCTTTCTCCTGGCTGGGAGACTGCCAAGTCTTGGAGAGATGACTGGGATTTCCACAGAGTCCTCAATCTGAAGAGAACAGGAAGCCAGTCTCACTGTAATTGGCTGTGAAGGACGTCCAGCAACCACTGCCCGTTGGTTCCCTCTCCGCCCGGCCAGAGCATGATGTCAGAGCTGGGTTTATGGCATGTAACCTTTGTAAGTGGGTGCCCCTCGGGCTCCCCTTTGGAGGCAGGTTTTCTGAGAAACCACTGAAAGCAAACACCTCAGAGGCCCTCCTTTCCACAACCTCGTCCATGGCCGTGGAAGGGGCTCCCCGCATTTGGTCATATGCTTTTGTGAAATCTGCCAAGTAAGAGCTTTTAACCACAGTCGTTCAGACATCTGTCTCTTTCCTGTCAACTTCTCCTTTAACACACTTCTAGGCCATGCAGGATGGTGTTGGGGTGCCTGTGGTGTTTTCCAGAACTGTCTTGACGTGATACATCAATAGCAGGTTGTGAAGTTAAAAGACACTTTTCTAAATTGTCAATAGGAAGAAACATTTTGATTAAATCATTCTAGAGGAAAAGACTGAATTCACATTTTGTTCTTTCTATAGAGTGTACTTTATGTATTTATTTTTAAATATTATTATTAATTTTTTGGCTGTGCTGCATGCTTCCTTGCAGGACCTTGGTTCCCTGACCAGGGATTGAACCCTTGCCCCCCACAATGGAGCCCTAACCACTGCACTGCCAGAAAATTCCTTAGAGCATATTTTAAAGGGTTGTTGCAGGTAGAAGCCATGATTACACAGTCAAATGTGTAGATAAAAGAGTATTTTGGGGCCATGCCATGGGAAATGCAGGATCTTAGTTCTCCCACCAGGTATCGAACCTGTGCGCCCTGCAGTGGAAGCACAGTCTTAATCACTGAACTGCCAGGGAAGTCCAAAAGAGCGTTAAAGGGGTATGTCAGACAGTTAACTAATACAGATATTTTATTTTCCTGAATTTTTGCAATGTTAGCGGTATTCGGCAGCTTTACAAATGTGTAACTTGTGATTTATTTTCTAAGTGAATACTTTTGTGCCTGATTTTATACTCTTAGTTGTGTATTCTTTACCGGTATTATATGAACAAACAAATTTCAGCCTTACAAAACCTGAATTGCCTCATTCCTTTCCGTTAATTTTCCGCCTTCTGACCTGCTGATCTTCCTGAAATGTCTTCCTTATTTGAATAATCTAGAGGTGCTGCCCTCCCCGCCCTCAGGAGGGTGGGAGAGGGGTGGCGAAGGAAGCCCACGGTGGCTGATGGCTTGGTTGCCTCTGTGTGTGTTGTACTGCTTCGGGCTGTCATGACTGCCGCATCACAGATGAGGACACCGAGGAGAATTAAGTAACTTGCCTTGAGCTGAATTTGTACGGTGGCGCCTTAAAGCTTCCCAGGTGGCACTAGTGGTAAAGAACCCTCCTACCAGTGCAGGAGACGTAAGAGACGCAGGTTCGATCCTTGGGTCAGGAAGATCCCCTGGAGGAGGGCATGGCAACCCACTCCAGTATTCTTGCCTGGAGAATCCCATGGACAGAGCAGCCTGGAGGGCTGCAGTCCACAGGGTCACAAAGAGTCAGACACGGCTGAGCACACATTATCATGGAGTCCTGTACCAAGGCCACTACAGCAGAGCCACAAGCAGCACCATCTCCGGAAAGGACCCAGCCCCTTTGTAACTGTTGCCAAAAGCCCCCCAGCAGGCGTCCTGACCCCATATTAGGCAAAAATACCCACGGTAGTGCTCATTGTAGGCACCCTAACCAGACTTCCACCAGGAATTTTCTTTGTCTTGAGGCTATAAGAATTGGCAGCTAACCCAGGAAATGCGTCGACTCTCCTTGGTCTATTAGGAGGTCGCCCCACTGTGCTCAAAGTGCCCTTATCATCTCTGCTCTTTGTTCTTAATACACTCATTCCCCCCCTGAAATGCTGTGTGTCTGGAAATTCCTTTTCAATCGCCCTCCGACTGCCATGACAGTCCACTGAGCTAAGCCGTAACTGTTTTTCCTCAAATTCCCTTCTTGCCTGGTTCTGAATTAGCATGGATCAGCAGATTTTTTTTTTTTTAAACAGGATTTAGAAGGTAGAATGCGGCTGTTCTCCTCTCAGGAGACTGGGGCAGGATGAGAGGGATTGCTGCTGCTCAGAGCATTGTGGCTTATCTACTGGTCTCCTGTAGAACAGGGATGCAGCCAGTCTTGACATTTCCTCCAGCACTTGCTGCTGCGGCTTCCCTGGCTTCCCTGTCTCCTGGGCCAGGTGCCCGTTTAGCTCCCTGACAAAGGCACCCTGCTGGAGACTTGGAGATGGTGAGAGACTGATGGTGGTTTCAGCATGTCCTTGTGCACCCCTCCTTTCGTCCACCTTCTCTTCCCGCTCTTGCCCAGGCTGCAGCACCAGACACAGGAAAAAAAAAAAAGTCTTACACAGATTATGTAGCCAACTTCCCTGATTTATTTATTTTTAAAATAGTTCTTTCTTTATTTGACTGTGCTGGGTCTTAGTTACGGCACGTGGGATCTTTGATCTTTGTTGTGGACTTCCCTGGAGGCTCAGTGGGTAAAGAATCCGCCTGCAATGAGGGAGACCTGGGTTCAGTCCCTGGGTTGGGGAAGATCCCCGGGAGAAGGGCATGGCAACCCACTCCAGTGTTCTCGCCTGGAGAATCCCCATGGAAAGAGGAGCCTGGTGGGCTACAGTTCATGGGATCGCAAAGAGCTGGACACGACTGAGCAACCAAGCACAGCACAGTGGCATGAGGGATCTTTGTTGTAGCAGGAGAACTCTCTAATTGTGGCATGTGGGATTTAGTTCCCTGACCTGGGATGGAACCCAGGCCCCATGCATTGGGATGTAAGATCTTAGCCACTGGACCACTAGGGAAATCCCTCCCATGATTCCTTTGGGGGCCACACAGTGCATGCAGCATGCAGAACTTCCCTGATCGGGGATTGAACCTATGCCTCCTACATTGGAAGTACAGAGTCTTAACCACTGGGCCACCAGGGAAGTCCCCCTCCCATGATTTCTTAAGGTCAAGCCCCTATCTCTCTCTCACACACACACACACACACACACACACACACACACACACATTGCAGGGTGATTCTGTTTCTCTGATAAAAATCTAACTGATC